AGTAGTAACTAGTGAGGACTAACATGGGTGCTTAACACATTCCAGGGTTTGAGAAGAACTTGATATCATTGGGCATTTTGGACTCAAAATGGTTTAAGTATACATGTGTGGAGGGAGTGCTTCAGGTCTCTCTAGCTGGATCTAGAAGTTGAAAGAACTTCTAAGTACAAAATCAAAGGTGGAAGATGTTGAAGGTCATCACTAGCCTGATAGAATCATGTTATTGTCTAGAACAAGTTAGCATGTTCTAGAATGATCTGGAAGATTCTAGAACATTATGGAATTCTATGGAGAAGTCTAGAAGATGACAGAAGATTCTAGAATACTCTAGAATGAGATGGAAGACCCTGGAAGGCTATGGAACATTGTAGAACACTATGGAAGGCACAAGAATGTCTATACTTATCTAGGACATTATAGAATATTCTAGAAACATATAAAAGCTTGTAATTGATATAGAATATGGTAGATAGTTCTAGAATAGTCATGAATGTATGTAGATCTAGAAACTTCCTATAAGGAGGTGGAAACACCTATAAATAGGTGTGGAGCTCATTTGCTCCAAATCAATCCAACATCTAAGTATCCAAAAAAGCCTCAAAGAAAGAAAAGTGTCTAGTAGTCTCTCAAAGTGTAAAATCTTCTTAAGTGTCTTAATAAAAGTCTTGTTGTTTCCCATATAAAAGAGCTGTGTTCAACAATCTGGTATCAGAGCGAGGTTTCTTGATAGTGAGAACGAGTGATTCTCTTTGTATCATGAGTAGTCTGTGACTCTTCAAGTTTAGTGTCGAAACTAGCTTGTTTGGTATTACCGAGGTACTGCCAACACGATGGGTGATCTCCAAGTCGTCGAAGGAATCAAGAAACTCAACAGCAACAACTACAAAAACGTGGGAAACATGTATGAAGTCCTACTTACAAGGACAAGATCTATGGGAGGTTGTTGGTGGAAGTGAAACTACGCCACCAGAGGAAGACGTTAATGGTGCTTTGCGCAAATGGAAAATCAAAGCAGGCAAAGCAATGTTTGCCTTGAAGACCACAATCGAAGAAGAGATGTTGGAGCATATTCGGGATGAGAACACCCCGAAAGAAGCTTGGGACACGTTTGTGATGCTTTTCTCAAAGAAAAAATGATACGAGACTACAACTTTTGGAGAACGAGCTATTATCAATCTCACAACGTGACATGATGATTGCTCAATATTTCCACAAGGTCAAGTCAATATGTCGCGAGATTACTGAACTAGATCCGCAATCCGTCATTGCAGAAGCTCGAATGAAGAGGATCATTATCCATGGACTGAGGCCGGAATATAGAAGCTTTGTTACTGCTATACAAGGATGGCCCGCTCAACCATCACTTGTAGAGTTTGAGAATTTGTTGTCCAGCCAAGAAGCTATGGCTAAGCAAATGGGAGGCATCACGCTGAAAAGTGAAGAAGAAGCACTCTACACAAGTAAAAGTCAAAGGAATTTCAAGCCACCTTCTAAAGAAGGATACAAAAATGTTGACAAAGGGAAGAGTCAGCAAGGAACCTCACAACCATGGAGATCTCAAAAGACCGACAATAAGAGTTCTCAGGGGAGGAGGTTCGAAGGCAACTGCAACAATTGTGGAAAGTGGGGCCGCATGTCCAAGGATTGTTGGTAAAAGAAAAAGTCTGTAGAAAGCAATGTAGTAACTTCCAAAAAGGAAGTAGATGATGAATGGGATGCTGAGGCACTATGTGCTATAGAAGAGAATAAGAGTAAAAGAGGAAGGCTAATGTTCGTGGATGCTAGGGTAAATGGAGGATACACCAAGGCATTGGTAGATACAGGTGCATCCCATAATTTCCTTGCTGAAGATGAAGCTAAGAAGTTGGGCATCAAAGACACCAAAATGCCAGGCCGGTTGAAAGTCGTCAACTCTTTATCCAAGCCTATCATTGGTGTTGCATATGGAGTACCTCTTAAGATAGCAGAATGGGAAGGCACCATAGACTTGACAGTGGTTCATATGGATGACTATCGTATGGTATTGGGAATGGATTTTTTAGAAAAGGTACGACCCTGGTCATTTGAGAGAGACAATACCATGCGTATCACCAAGGGTTCAATAATTCACATTGTACCCTTGAAGAGAAATATGATTGGATCCCGCATGCTATCAACTATACAACTCGACAAAGGTCTCAAGAAGAGTGAGACAGAGTTTATGACAACCTTGAAGGAGGAAGTTATTCCCTTGAAGATGGACATTCCAAAGGAGAATAAGAAAATGACGTCACCAGAGTTGCATAAAAAGTCTCATCTTAGACGAAAAATGGAACATGTGATGGAGAAACTGGATAAGGTGAAAAAGAAGAAAAACACATTAATTGGTAAGAGCAAACTAGAATTTCTCAACAGAGCAACATCTAAACGAGATGAGCAGATCAATAAGGGATCACGTCATAACATGTTAATATTGTGGGAATTTTCCAAAGCTTGTAAAAGGGACAACTCACATGCTTACAAGTTTCTCAAAGGGAGGCATAAGAAACTACACAAGACAGTTCAACAAAGTCAGGAACAATATTATGTTGCAAGAAAATGCAACCACGAATGTCGTTGTCAACTACGAAAACAATATACGAAGCAACGACTACAACAACTAAGAAAAAAACCAAGCATGTGGAAGAGAAAAAGTTCTCAAGGAAGAAGTCAATATGCGATAGATCAAGACTGATAAACAAATAGCGGAATTATTCACCAAAGGGCTGAGTAAAGGAAAAAATGAAGGTTTTAGTTGTCAGCTCAACATGATACGAAGAATGGGGGCTAGTGCTGAGGGGCAGTGTTGAAGGTCATCACTAGCCTGATAGAATCATGTTATTATCTAGAACAAGTTAGCATGTTCTAGAATGATCTGGAAGATTCTGAACATTATGGAATTCTATGGAGAAGTCTAGAAGATGACAGAAGATTCTAGAATACTCTAGAATGAGATGGAAGACCCTGGAAGGCTATGGAACATTGTAGAACACTATGGAAGGCACAAGAATGTCTATACTTATCTAGGACATTATAGAATATTCTAGAAACATATAAAAGCTTGTAATTGATATAGAATATGGTAGATAGTTCTAGAATAGTCATGAATGTATGTAGATCTAGAAACTTCCTATAAGGAGGTGGAAACACCTATAAATAGGTGTGGAGCTCATTTTCTCCAAATCAATCCAACATCTAAGTATCCAAAAAAGCCTCAAAGAAAGAAAAGTGTCTAGTAGTCTCTCAAAGTGTAAAATCTTCTTAAGTGTCTTAATAAAAGTCTTGTTGTTTCCCATATAAAAGAGTCGTGTTCAACAGAAGACTTGGTCCTGGCTTGAATGTTTGTCTCTTAAATTGGAGTCAATGTGCATAGAGTTTCTTTATAACTAAAAAATAAAGTCTTCTGCTTTTCAGTGGGTACCACACTCAAGTCGGTTACAGTACGTACGCACCCATTAGAAGCAATAAAAGTGCCAAATTTTTTTGCATTTTCCTTGTTTGATGCATTTCAATTTGCATTGCTAGTTCTAGCTTAACACAACATTTGTTGGGTTAATTAAGATTATGGGACAAATTTTAGTCCCATGTACATTTTTGGATTTTTTTTTAGATTTTGTATTAGAATCATATATTAGCATGTATAGTAAAAATAGGGTACATGTCTTATGTATTTTTTTTATTTATTTTTCTGCCTCAATAAGAATTCCTTGCAGCCTAAGATAATTCCTTGAATTGTTTTTTTTTTTTTATTTCTCTTACCTTATTCATTCTCCTCTATTCACTTCTGTCCAGATTGTTTTGTATTCTCAGGGAATCAAGTGAATTGATTCCTGTATAGCAGTATAAGCCTCATTCTAAGAGAATTAAAAAAGTTATTTTTTACACTTGGTAGTAGAGTATAGAAAAATAAACGATCACAACTCCACCATGGAAGGACTGAAGATGACTTACCCCGTCTTAACAAGAACCAACTACATTACATCGACAATCAAGATGAAAATGTTCATGAAATAACAAGAGGTTTGGGATGTGATTGAACCAAAAAAACCCAAGAACCCGATTGGTGTCAAGAATGATAAGATGGTTGTGGTGGTGATTTACCAATCTATCCTGGAAAAAGAAGAAAATGGAAAAAGAAGTGTGGGAAACACTCAATATAATGTATATAGGTGTAGATCGAGTTCGAATAGTGAAAGTGCAGTATCTAAAGGCGGAGTTCGAGATTCTTAGCATGAAAGAATCTAAGGCGGATGATGATTTTTTTCTACAATAGGTAGTAAGAAACATCCGAGTGTTTATATTCTAGCAACAACAGAAGCTAAGTGCTGAAGAAGATCCTATAAGTCATGCCCTCTAAGTTTGTTCAAATTGCAGAAACATCTGGCAATTTGCTGATCTTGATACAATGTCTATTGAAGAAGTCGTCGGGAGACTAAAATCTCTTGAGGAGAGAATTCATGGGCATGTTGAACACGAAGAACAAGATGAAAAGAAATTGTTACTTACTCACCATGAATGGACAGAAATGCAGAAAAAAAAAACAAATTGAAGACCATGTTTGTTCTTCGGGGGAAAACAATCAAAGAAATACACAAAACCATGGTGGACAAGGAAGAGGCCGTGGTGGAAATTATGCAAATAGTGAAGGTCATGGAAGAGGAAACAACCAATAGTCTTGTGAAGGAACTCGTGGTATGAATTATGATTGAGACAAAAGTAAGATCCAATATTACAATTTCCAATAATATGGACATTATGCTTCCAAATGCAAGAACCCAATACAAGAGAGACAATACGAAGCAAACCTATCCCAAGGTCATGTAGATGATGATACAACTTTACTAATGGCATTGGTTCACAACAAAGTGTCTGAAGGTGATGTATTCTTGAATGAAGAAAACATGAACCCAAAGCTAAAAACAGAATAAAACATGAAAAATAACTCCAATGTTTGGTACCTCAATATTGGAACAAGCAATCGTATGACTGGTCATGAAGAAAAATCCAATGAGGTTAATCGAGTGGTTCAAGGATATGTGAAGTTTGGAGACGGCTCAAAGGTACATGTTGAGGGAAAAGGGTTAACTATATTATAGTTTAAGAATGGTGAGCAACAGATGCTTCAATGAGTATATTACATACCAAAATTGTGTAGTAATATTATTAGCTTGGGTCAACTCGCACATGACGACGATCAGATCGTTTTGCACGGATTATTCCTATGGATCCATGATGACAAGAACCGACTGCTCATGAATGTAAAGCAATCTGAAAACCCATTATATCAAACAGTTGTGAATGAGATGGGACCATGGTTTTTATTTAATGAAGTTGAAAAACCTATACTCAATCCAATGTCTGAATAAGGAATGATTTTTGAAGAACCGATGATTGATGTTGTAACACCTAATTTTCACTTTATAGTAAAAACACGTAATTACATGATTCAAGGTAATCACTATATTGCTTTTTAGCTAAATTATTCTTAAAGAATGTTGTAGTAATCATAATTACAAAAGCATGCATATAAACAACGCCTAAATCTGATTTCTTATGAAAAAGTTATGATTTTTCGATGTTTCGTTGTGACACAATACAGTAGTGTGCGATATAGAAATCAAAATGTAAATTGATTGATTGTAAACCGAAATAGTATAAACGAAAGTCGTAGATCTCATAAATACGAAACCGTCGATATAGAGAACGTCAAGAACGGAGTTCGTGTGAAGAAGTTATGAATTTTTCATGGTCTTTTACAGTGTAATCTTCAAATATTATAAATTTAAAATAGGTTGGGAATTTGTCAATGAAGTCCAAATGAAAGTTGTCGTACTCGTCGATATGAACGCATGGATATAAAGAACGTAAAAAATGGAGCTCGTATGTGAAAGTTATGATTTTCCGAAAATTGCAAAAATTACTCGCGATGGCGATGATGTGGCACCACCTGGAGGAAGCCACGTGGCCTTTTCAAATGACCCTCTCCTCCAACAGACATGATGACATGAACCCAATGAATGACGACACGTGGCAAGAACTGAATGGGGCCAACGTGCCAAAGCCCGAGACGCTCTTAACCTTAGGCACGACGTGCCCCCTCAAGCAATCTATAAATAGCAGCGAAAATCAGCTCATTTGCTCACACGCTACTCCAAATCCCCCCCCCTCTCTCTCTCTCTCTCTCTCAAACTCTCTCCCAAACCTTTGGGATCTGAATTATGAGTCTCGAGTATTTTAGCAAGGTGTTGCGGCGTTAGAAATCCTGATGAAATGAAGTATTCGGAGTCAGAGTTATGTCCGCGAGTTTCAAAACTTTTTATTAGAAACTCTGTAAGTCAAGCTACACTTAGTACGCTTTAAGTGTAACTTATATTTATATTGATACTCGTTATTATGAATTTATAAATAGGATTTATTAGTAATTCTATGCTAAAATATTGATTGATCTATTTACGAGAGTGATGTTGATGCTAGATCTAGTGAGATGTTTAAAGTGAATTTCCCAAAATAGTATACTCTATATACCAAACGGATCGTACATTCGATATGATCTTACATGGTTTCCTTATTTGATAGAACTTGAAGTATGCATTTAGATTAGTGAAAGATATAGCTTTTCTCACCAGATTGCCATAAAGATTAATAAGTTATAATATTATGGGTTAATACTTGTTAGACGTGTTACCTGCCAGTTGGATAGCTAATAGTCGTCTAAGTAATTGCCTAGGTGAGTTTTCTCATTATATTTTATATTGCAATATGTATTCTTACGTGTAGTGCTATCTGTTTATATATTAATA